TGTCTGGAAGCTCTAATTAAGAAAGTATATATTTCCACTTCCTCCTCCTCCTCCCTCCCCCATGTCTTCTAATCTGTTTGTTTGATCAACATTTCATGGCATTTTGAAAGTTTCACTCTTTTTTGTGTGACTTTAGTCAAACTAACAAAAGTGAATTTCATACGGAGGTTTTTTTTGGTTTTTTTTTTAAAGCAAAGCCTGCTAGGGTAGTATTGGTTTTACTCTGGACGTGCTTTCGGTTTGCATGTTTGCAGTCAGCACCCAAGTGAAAGCAAATATTTAAGTGTTAAATAGGGCTCTATAAATGTAGTATTTAAAGAGAACATTGGGTAATATTGCTGTGGCCAACAAAGGAATTAGATCCTGAAGGGCATTAAACTCTCCACCCATTGCTCTTAAAAAAGGAATCCTTGAATGCCTCCTTTTTAGCTGAGTGTTTTGAAATGAATCTATCATTCTAATATATTTTTTAAAAGGTTCTTCTTAGTCTATATCCATCCTTTCAGTTTATAGAAGAAGATTTGAAAGGGAAATAAAATATAAATATCACAGAAGAGTAGCTGGCCATGGACATGGTGTTGACAGGAGGGATTTAGTTCCTGGGAACATGTTGTGTGTTACCAGGATGATGGTCTACTTAGGCCAAGATGGATTGCACAGAGAAAGACTTAAGAATTATGAGTTTTAGCTGAATTGCATCACAATTGGATGCTTTAAAGAGGGAGTTGGGAATGATAACCCAGGATTAAGAACTTCAGACAGAAATCTGTGCCCTGCTGTAATAAATCAAAGAATAAATCAAAGAAGAAGTCAATTACCTGATAGAATGTGGGAAAGAAACAAAATGACCTTGAACTCTTATGACATGACGGGAAGACAAATATGATTTTAATGGCTACAGCAGAGACCTGATAGGATAATCTCATAATTGGATGAAAGAAAGTTGAAAGAGGCAACTACTTGAGAGGAAGAGAAACAAGAAGAAGTGGAATTTCTTTGAATAACTGCCTTCATCTGCAGGTTCTGGGGAATGTAACAGATAGTCCTTGGCTTATGACAATAATTGAGACTAAAATTTCTGTTGCTAAGTGAGACAGTTGAGTTTTGCCCCATTTTGCGACCGAGACAGTTGAGTTTTGCCCCATTTTGCGACCTTTCTTGCCACAGTTTTTAAGTAAATCATTGCAGTTGTTCAGTTAGTAACACAGTTGTTAAGTGAATCAGGCTTCCCCGTTGACTTTGCTTTTCAGAAGGTCGCAAAAAGCAATCACATGATGCTGGGACACTGCAACCGTCATAAATAGGAGTCAGTTGCCAAGCATCTGAATTTTGATCGGTCGTAAATGTGAAAAATTGTCATAAGTCACTTTTTTAGTGTCATAACTTCGAACAGTTACTAAATGAACAGTTGTAAGTCAAGGACTACCTGTCCTTCATGCTCTTGTGACCCAATTGGTTAAAATGTGAAAGTAAGAAAAAAACCAAAATTGATTTATTTATTATTGCCATCCATCTCAAACAAGCGGCTCTGAGTGGTGAAAAAATAAATAAGATATTCTTGGCATAGGGCAGGGGTAGGCAACCTTGGCTCTTTTATGACTCGTGGACTTCAACTCCCAGAAATCCTGAGCCAGCATGGCTCAGCTTGGAAACCTCTCCCTTTCCCCTCAGCATGGCTGGCTCAGGAATTCTGGGAGTTGAAGTCCATGAGTCATAAAAGAGCCAAGGTTGCCTACCCCTGGCATAGGTAATCCTCGACCTACACTCATTCATTTAGCGACCGTTTGAACTTACACTTAAAAAAAGTGACGACTGGCCCTTCTACTTAGAACCATCGCAGCATCCCCACAGTCATGGGATCAAAATTTGGCACTTGGCAATTGCCATGTTTTTAGGATGGTTCAGTATCCAGGAGTCCTGAAGTCACCATTTGTGACCTTCTCAAGATAGTTTCTGACAAGCAAAGTCAATGGAGGAACCCGGATTCACTTAACTGCAATGATTCGCTTAACAACCGTGGCAAAATAAGGTTGTAAAATTGGGCGCAACTCACTTAACCACCACCTTGCTTAGCAATGGAAATCCTGGTCTCCGTAGTGGCTGTAAGTTGAGGACTACCTAAACCTACTAAAAATGATAAACTCCCTTGAGTTTGACTTGACTCCTAGTGGCTACCTATCCATATCTCTGAAGTTTTACTGGAAACAATTTGGAAATGGCTTCCCATTGTTTTCTTCGGGGTTGCTTTTTGCCTTCCCCATCTACAGCTCTGGGAATTTCAAGCGCTCTCTGTCTAATAACACCAACAAGGTCCGGTCCTGCTTAGCTGTCCTAAAGTCAGCCAAGGTTGGCTAGATTCTGCCACCTGTTGTGATTGGTGACTGCCACCAATCAACCATTCAGGCTGAACAGGTGGATGATTTTCCCACAACCGATTGCAGTAGTGGTGATGAGGGCATTAATCATCTAACCGTACCTGGGAAGCTCATTTATTTGTTTATTTTGCAAATTGTATATGGCAGCCCATCCTTAATCCAATAACTCCAGCTGGCTAACCAAGCAACAAGAAGAAAAGCATTCAGACCAGGGAAAGGAGCAATATAAGATACCAGTTAAAATAATCAGCTCCTTAACAGTGCAGAGCAAATCACACAGCCAGGCTCCATTAGCAATTTTAAGGAATCCTGAAAGGCCAACAGAGTCAAAATATGTTCTGCCTCTTGTGAATTTTTCAAAAAATCCCTGATGTTTTGCCGACAGTTTTCTCGTTCAACATGTTTACCGTGTTATATTGTGAGCATATCAGCACCACCTCCCCTTCTATAATTGCCAGATTAATATACATACATACATACACACACACACACACACACACACACACACACACACACACACATACATTCCTCAATTTACAACAGTTTGTTTAGTGACTGTTCAAAGTTACAACGGCACTGGAAAAAGTGACTTACTGTATGACCATTTTCCCACTTACGAATCGCCATGGTCACGTCATCAAAATTCAAATGCTTGGCAACTGACTTATATTTGTGATGGTTGCAATGTCTTAGAGTTGTGTGATCACCTTTTGCAACCTTCTGACAAGCAAAGTCAATGGGGAAGACACATTCACTTAACCGTGTTATAAACTTAACAAGTACAGTGATTCACTTAACAACTGTGGCAAGAAAGGTCGTGAAAAGGAGCAAAACTCACTTAACAAATGTCTCACTTAACAACATATATTTTGGGTTCAACTGTGGTCACAAGTTGAAGACTACCTGTATATATAGCTATATCCATCCATCCATCTATCCATCCATCCATCCATCCATCCATCCCTATCTATCTATCCATCCATCCATCCATCTATCCATATCTATCTATCATCCATCCATCCATCCATCCATCCATCCATCCATCCATCCATCCATCCATTTTATAACATAAAACAAAGTAAACATGTAAAAGCTGATTAGAAACGCAAGCCACCACTAAACCTGAAGTGTCATGGTGACCATTCATTCCCCAGGAGGCCCGGCCTCTGCTTTGAATCGTTTTTGGAAATCCAGTCATGAGGATTCTAATTTAATCTCAGTGGAATTAGATATTAACCAATAATTTCATACTTACTAATATGGAAGACGTAGGAGACAAAGTGGAACTGGCAGCAATTTTTAGGGAAAGTGACCATGGAAAGTTGGAATTTTTGATTTTTAAGAGAAATTTAAGAGAAGGTTTGGACTCAGTTGTGGTCATAAGTCAAGGACTACCTATGTCTCATTGAGTGCAAGATACAGAATAAAGAGCCTCAGTTGTAGAGAGTGATAAGACTCCAGTAGAAAATAAAATCTTTATGATGGGAGGAATCCCTATCACGGTAGTAGTGAGCACTGTTTCTCTAAATGAGTTCATATAGGCTGGACAGTGCCTTGGTGCACATGGACTTCAACTAGGGTACCTGCATTCATAAATGGTCTGCTTCTGTCTACAGCAGGCCTGCACAGCTTAGAGAAAGGATTACACTGATAAAATTAAAAATAGTTGCAGGCCACAAAGAAATAGCTGGTGTACCATGGACCTGGCGTCATCGGTGAGACTTGGAGGCGCCCAGCAGAGGGTCTGCCAGGATAATGGCAGCCGATTCTTCCTGGCATCAGCAAAGTGTGGCAATACTGAATTCAATTGAATTTTTTTACAAATGCCAGCGGGCCACATATTACACTGGCCTTCTGGCCTACAGTCCTTCTTTCTGTCTATGAAGCAAGTCCTGTGCCTCTTTTGACATTTTTTGAAATTCATTACCCTTTAACCACAAATGTGGGAAATATATAATCCTCCTTTTGGGGGTGAAAAAAGGAAGACGACACTTAAATGGCTGATAAACTGAATCATGGTCAGTTCTGAAAGCCATGTGTGATTTTGTTTGGTTGATATTTCCTGTCTCTGGAATCTTTAAAAAGAGAAACCTCCCTTCTTATCTCTGCTGGATTCTTTTCACTGAGTTTTGCAACTGGGGGAAGCGCCTTGTGGGGTCTTTATTGATCTTGGAAGCTAAGCAAGGTCAGACTAGCTTGAAGGGGACACTGCAGGGAAATCCCAGGGTCTGGCTGTAGGCCGGACTGGACATCTGAAAAAGACAGTGGCAAACCGCTTCTAAATTGCTGCCTGGGAGAAAAAAAAATGTTGTTTTTCATCTTTTGTGAGAGTTTTTACTTTGCAACCAAAGGGGGACACCCACTGCATTCTGGCTGTCTTGCAGGAGTTAGTTGTCTGTTTAAATTTTGTCTCGTGATCAGTGAATCGTCCTTCAATGAGCAGGTTTTGTGTTCATGGCTTATGCAGTCTTTTTCAGTTCACCAGTATGCTGCTAAATTAGAAACCAGAAATTAATATATTTTCTGTATAAAACTCTGTCGTGTGATCTCCTAGTGTGGGATGCTAAATGGGAAATGTTTTCTTTTCTTTCCTTCCTTGTCTTAATTCTCTTTCTTATTTTACAGGGAAGAACCTCTACACAAATGAATATGTAGCAATCAAGTTGGTAAGCTTATTTCTAGTGTATATTGTTGTCGGGTTTTGAAGCTGGTCCTTTTTCCCCCCTCCTATTAATTCCTAATAAACTAGATCAGTGTTTCCCAACCTTGGCAACTTTAAGATGCGTAGACTTCCAACTCCCAGAATTCCCCAGCCAGCATGGGAATTCTGGGAGTTGAAGTCCACAAGTCTTAAAAGTTGCCAAAGTTGAACAACCTGGTCTAGATCCTTCTGTAGGCCAGACACGTGGCCTGCTCCTGGGCTGTGGATCTAAATCTATCAAAGAGTCACGGCGTTGATCTCTTTCATGCTTAGCATCATCTGAATTAGCAGCCAGTCTCCAGCAAATCTGTTAAAGAAAGGACAGTTTCTCTCCCCAGAAAGTGAGAGACACGGTATACAATAATGGTCACTTTGATTTAAGTTAGTGTGAAATATTGATTGACGCCTGCAAACTAATCCTTTGAAAAAGAAATGAAATAATTCAGCGACACTTCAAAAGCTGAGAGCAGCAGTGAAAATTTGGGGGCCTTGTGCTCCATTTGGTTTGATGAAAATCCCACAAAAGTTTGGTTCATAACAATTCGCCTTTCAAGTACCACAAGGCTCCAGCTTGTTCTTGCTGAGGCTTACTAATGTGACTGTGCTTCTAAAATTGGTAGTATATTGGTGTATCTCCCCGTAATTAACTGGAAAGAGTTAGAATCTGGCTAGTTCTTCGGTTTTGCTATCATAGCCATTCCTAACAATTTGTCCCCTCTTCTTTTAAATAGTCTTCCTGATTGCATTCTTTCCAGAAGTGTTGGGATTCTGCATCCCCAAATGCCTAGCTGGCATTGCCATTTTGGTTTTTTAGAAAGAATTCTGGGAGTTGTGGTTGCTACACAATTGGAGGTTCAGATTAAAGACGGTGGGTGGGCTTTTAATGACTCCTATGCTGAGTTGGCTTGATGTCCTTGATGCTCTCCAGTGCCAACATTGTGGACTTCCTCTCCAGTGCCAACTTGTGGACTTCAACTCCCAGAATTCCTCAGTCAGCCCTGGCTGGCTGAGGATTTCTGGGAGTTGAAGTCCACAAGTCATAAAAGGGCCAAGTTTGAAGACCCCTGACTTAGAGGCAGGTCCCATTCGGTCAGGTAGGCCTGCAGCCTTAGTTCCCCTCCATTCACAATCCATTCACAATCACTGCCTCACATTTGTTGTTTGTTTGCAATTATCTCTTGTTTCATTAACAAATGTATGGCTACAGGGTTTGTAACTTGTCTTTTTTCTAGGAACCTATCAAATCCAGAGCTCCTCAGCTGCATTTGGAATACCGATTTTATAAACAGCTTGGCAATGCAGGTAAGTAAAAACAACCGATTTGTAGAATTATCCAGAAAAAGGTTTTTTTTAAAGTTTATTTCAGTTTCCTAGTCCTGGTGAGTACAGAGGAATTGTTGCTTTGTTTTAAAAGTGTTTGTAAGAAGTTTAATTCTTGGAACATGCTTGCTTAATAAGCCTGGTTGATTACCTAATTACTAACCTCTCTCCTGTCTCCACTATCGTAGTCATTCTAACTTTTGAAGCTCTTTTTTTCCTTTTAAACTTTGATAGTTTAATAAAACTCTCACCTCAGTAACCATGAATTTTTTTGTGTGTGTATTGACTCTGCTGCAGGTGTTTAAAGAAGTTGATGCATGTTACATTTTTAAAACTTCTGTGAACTCGTGTTTATGTAGTGAATAATATTTTAAAATTTTATCTGTTAAAAATGCCATTCAAAGGAAAAGCTGATACACGTTTAGAGAAGATTTTTTTTTATTTTCTCTCCTCAAGGATTATAAGGACTTTAAATAGGATCTGTGTTGACCTGCAGAACACTTATGTTAGGGTGCTGCAACTGAACAACTATTTGTCTGAAATAATATAGGATCTCCTGCTTATGCAGGGGGTTGGACTAGAAGACCTCCAAGGTCCCTTCTAGCTCTGTTATTCTGTTAAATATCAGATGTTCTTCTAGCGTAGTGAGTCTCAACCTTGGCAACTTTAACTTTTGTGGACTTCAATTCCCAGAGTTCTGGGAGTTGAAGTCCACAAGACTTAAAAGTTGCCAAGATTGGACACCCCTGATCTAGAAGTAAACTGTAGAGCCATATTCACTTCATCCAGCTACCTCTGCAATCACATCACTTTCTTTTCCACCCTTTCCAGAAGGAATCCCTCAGGTCTACTACTTTGGGCCATGTGGAAAGTACAACGCCATGGTCTTGGAGCTGCTGGGCCCAAGCCTAGAAGACCTCTTTGACTTGTGTGACCGGACATTCACTCTCAAGACCGTTCTTATGATTGCCATCCAACTGGTGAGCATCCATTCTGTAGAGACGTGCATTCTTTGCTACTCTCTTCACGCAACCCTCAAGACTTAGGACCAGTCCAAAACCTCCTGCTCAGTTAAAGCAATTCCAGTAACCCGGAATTCTCTCAATTAAGGAGCAGCTGTCAAGGCAGCAAGCTGCTCAGTTCTTCCTTCATTACCCTTCTTGATTTGTGTGCCGTACGTAAAGCTTCTTTCCTGCCAATCAGCACAAAAACACAGTGGAAGCGAATTTTCTCTTTAACCTGCAGAGCGCCTTTGTTTCCTTATTGAGTTTGGAGAAAGGTTAATTTCAAAAAATTACAGAGTACTAATTGTTGAGGGTTGGCTTACCCGATTCAATGAACATATATTTTGCTATTTAAAGTTCTAGGGAAAAGAACTTAGGATGTGAGATGTTTTGGTCTGGTTTTTAACGATAGTCTGATCAGAGTTTCTCTCCTTGCTTTCTCTTCCGGCCCAGATTACACGGATGGAGTACGTTCACACCAAAAGCTTGATCTACAGAGATGTAAAGCCAGAAAACTTCCTGGTGGGAAGGCCCGGAAGCAAGCGCCAGCACACCATCCACATAATTGACTTTGGCCTGGCCAAAGAGTACATTGACCCAGAGACCAAAAAGCATATCCCCTACCGAGAGCACAAGAGTCTGACGGGAACGGCGCGGTACATGAGCATCAATACTCACCTGGGGAAAGGTGAAGAAGGGGCACTTCCTGTCATGTTTCCAGGGAGGGGGAGAGAGGGATGGAAGATAGGTGTCTGTGGGGGAGGGGAGTTCTCATAAATCTCAACTTTAACAAAAAATTAAAAAGCTGCTTTCCCTCACTAGTGTCTGTCTGTCTGTCTGTGTGTCTGTGTTTGCCCCTCTGAGTCACTGTGAACTCTTGACGACTGTCTGGATCAGTCCCTGCAGTTTTCTGGGCAATGTTTTTGGAAGCGGTTTTCTCTGTGAAACGGATTGCAGGTTGATTCAAAATTTCCCTGGAACTGTTGTGTAGCAAAAAAGTGTCTTTGCACTAGAAGAAAATCCTTTCTTGCACAAGAGCTGGCACAATATGTTTGCTAATTTCTCACTGCTCTGCTTGCTGCTTACTGTCCTTGCAGTTTTGCACATCCACCAACTTCAAATCACAGCTTCAAGGAGATTGCAGAGGGTTACGGTTGAAGGGTACTGCCCAGCATAAGTAGACATATTTACGACTGGTGCAAAGTCTGTGCTGGAGACAATACAGACTTTACAGGACTCAGTGCTACAAAGTGTGCAAATGAGGTCTAACACTCGTATCCTAAACCTCAAGCCCTTTATTCATGGCTCATTGAATAACTTGCAGTTAGCTAGGATCATGCAGCAAGCAAAAATATAAACAAACAAACCATAATATGCCTCTGTTGTGTGAAAATAGTTTAGGCTATTGGCTGTCATGGTTTGGAACCCCCAGAGGTCAGGGCAGTCTCTCTGAATTCTACAGAATTGCTGAATTGTTGAATAAACCTTATTTGGAGGGTGTGTGTGTGTCCCTGAATCGTTTTGTTTTCAACTGTCAGAAGCAGGTTATCTGGATGGATTCTTTCATAGATGACAAAGATACAATGAATGTTTATAATTTACTTCTTTATCCAGGTGATTATTAGGCACAGAGGAGTGAGACAGGATTAAGTCATATCTGGTCTACTACACTGGGTATCTTAGCTGGGTTTACATCATGCTCTCCATTCAATGCTTTATTGAATAAGTCATAAATAGCGGAGTTCACACCGTAGAATAAACCCTGAACCATGATTTACAAATGCAGTGGTGTTCATAAAGTACACTAAGTCAATCAAATCATTTCCCACCTTGCGGTGATTTGCAGTATGCAGACCCAATCAGAAGCATTTTTTTTTAAAAGCAATGTAATTGCAAGAATGCTCTTGATTCATTCAGATTTTTTGTGATCTTGTGCAGAACAAAGCCGAAGAGATGACCTGGAAGCACTTGGTCACATGTTCATGTACTTCCTCCGGGGAAGTCTGCCCTGGCAAGGCCTCAAGGTGAGTCCTATCTCTATGGGAAAATATGCAAATTTAAACGAACCGAATTTTAAGCATTTGCATGTTTTTCCTTTTTGCTACTGCATGGATTTACCCTCTGAATATTGCAATTCTTCATTATGAGGGGTCCTTGGTGCTCTCTGTGCTTGGTTGCTTTCTTGCAGATATTTCATTACCCAACTAAGTGGCTAGTAGGGAGTGGGGTTCACTTTCCATTTATATTCTAGTTCTTCCATATGTTTTCCATCTTACCTGGGTAGCGTCTTATAAGCTAGGAACTAAGACATATTTACGATTCCCTTCGTAAAGAAGAAGCTGAGGATCCCAGATCTGTACTCCTTTGATTATTTTCTCCTTGTGGTGTCGTTGTGGAACTGGCCCAAGAGTTGCTTGTGTGTTAGGTGGGTCCATATGCCACAGACTGAAATCAGTTGAAAATGTTAGTTGTCCACAGATTCACTCTCATGCAGCTGGCTTGATATCACCCACAACGTATGCAGAACAGTGAAGAGTGTAACCATGTCTATTGTATTATCTCCCTAATTTGTGTCTAGAGTTCCTGGATCACCCCAGTTTCTTCCACTTGCAGCCCAGACTCTAGAATGATGATCATCATCTGACTTTGTGCCTGTTTATTGCTCTTACAGCAAGAATCACCAGCTTTCCATTTGCTGAATCCAGGGATTTCCACTAGGAGAGAGAGTGGCTTGATTGGCGCAGGCCTTAGTTGTGTTCCATTTAGAGTGCAGGTAGTCCTCAACCTATGACCCTAATAGACCCTGCCCATTACAGTCATAGCAGTCATCAAACGGGCCAGTTACCTGACCTACCCCATTTTATGACATGTTTTGGGGTGGTTGTAAGTGTGAACATTACAGTCGTTAAGCAAACACAGTCATTAACTGTGGGCATGGTTTTGCTAGAAAGTGGAAGTAAACGGTCACGTGTGACCGTGTTGTGGGGCGCCCGAAGTGCATTCACATAACCATGCAAGGGGGGCGACGGTCAGAACTGCAGGTCTGCGTCAAATCCCTTTCTTAGGTGGATCGTAACTTTGACGGTCACTAAATGACCAGTTGTCAATTCAGACTTCCTGAATTATGATGGTCAGGAAGATGTTTCCAGTTCCTCTCTCTGTTCTTTGTGCTGGTCCTACACTCCTCTCATATCTTGTTACATCATGTAGCTCTTCTCTAGGCAGGACAGACCCCCAAGCTGTTGTTCAGAGACCTTTGTTCACAAATATCCCAACTTTTGGCCTTATTTCTCTCTACAGTACTATTTGCTCCTTACGCTCCTCTGATGGTTTCTTGTTCCATGGTTCAGGGTTGCAGTCTCCAGCTTCCTGGTTTTCAGACATCCAGCCCTGTGGCTCTGGAATTCCTTCCTTTCTCCTTGAGGAGGTTTGACAGCCTGTAAAAGGGGTTAAAGACCCTTTTATCTGACAAACAGAGTTAGTGCTTGGTCAACCCAGCCTTCTGTCCTTAGTTGACCATTCCTAGGTTAAGCCCTGCCTTGGTTTCAATGATGAATTTATAGGCGCTTGATTGCACTGCAAGGTCTTTTTAAAAACCACGTTTTGGATTCTGTCTTTTTGTTTGCCTTGGCTATTAATATCTATTTACTGGTTTGGTTACTAAATTGTGAATTAACTGGATGGGATGGGGTTTTGTAATTATAGTACAGTGTTTTTATGATCTGTACACACCTCAGTAAAAACACGTAATTGCAGTAATGTGTTTTTGTTGTTCTTAGTCCACCTGGGCAAATAAAATGCCTGGTGCACGTTTTGTGCAATCCTCACAATTTATCCAATGTCTTGCAGAACAGTTGTGTTTTTCTTGGCACTCTTTCCCTATGAAACACCGGCTTCCACAGCCTGACCTGACACCTCTCTCCTCCTCCTTCCCACCCTTGGTGTCTCTTCCTAGGCGGACACCCTGAAAGAGCGGTACCAGAAGATTGGCGATACCAAGAGAGCCACACCCGTTGAAGTGCTGTGTGAAAGCTTCCCTGGTAAGGATCTCCGGCAACGCAGAGACAGTATCAGGTTTCACTGCCAGGAAGAGAGATTCAGATAATTTAAAAGGGAGGAGGCAGTTTATATCAAAGGACCATGGTTAAAGGTTAAGCTTGGTTTGCAGTCAAGGGTTGCACTATAGGTTGTCTTTGCTCACAATGCTGCCTGATTATTTATTTTTATTTTATTAAATTGATATGCCACCCATCTTGTGGATTACATCTCCTTCTAAAATATTCTGTGCCAGCTTTCATTGTCATGGCTGCAAATTCAAGGAATTAAGTTGGGGAGAGAGAGGTATCAGTACGGTCAGTGGGAGAGGCAGATATGGCGGGAGCAGAGGACCATATCAGGTTAGGGGAGCACGCACACGCTATTTACAAGCTTGTGGGTGCTCCGGTCCTCAGGTCTCCACTCGGCTTCCAGGAGACCTAGATCCCCCGGCCCGGAACCATCGGCTGCTGTTATGCAACGCCAGGTCCGTGGTAA